AAATCTTCTGTTTCTCCTTTAGTCATTGGGGAGGGAAGGGGGATAGAGCCCCAAGCTGCACTGTTTTCGTGAACGCCGTTCTGGCCAGCCTGCAAACTGCTAGTCCTGGCAGTTTGCTGCAGGGTTTGCACAATTACTCCATCAGCAAAGGCGTGTCACTGCGTGAAGCGTTGCCGGGTGATTATGGGTAACGGGAAGTTTGGGTTTGCACTCTGCTACTATTGTAAATGGGAGATTTGGGATGAACTGAATTTGGGAAAATGCTTCAGAGTCTGGAGGGTTCAAAGGTAGGAGGTAAGTGGTTATCATTAACAAAAAAAAACCAAAATGAGAACAGACCTTTCTTGTAAGTTTAAAGAAAGAAAATCACTGTCACTGAGGAATTGGGACATAGGTGACGCTGACTCACCTTCCATTTTCAAAGCCTGTACTCGGAAAAGTAAAGCTTGGCCGACAGGTTCATGGGCTTCATGTAAAATAATCCAGCCCAAGCTGCCCCCGCTGGCACCAGTCCACGTGTTCAGCTGCAGTGCGACAGCACAGTCGCTGGTAGATGGTGTCTCTAACCAGCTGGGTTCAATCATGGGATCAAATGCAAGCCATGAGCACGGTAAGACAGTGTTCCCTCTCAGTGCACTTTCACATATGGCTTTTCATATACTACCTTAAAGGTACTGTGCAAATGGTATCAAGCACCAGCTGATGGACTTGGTAAGAGACTGCTCCTCTGGTCAAGATACTAACGTTGTTCACCAACGGGTTTTATAACTCGGGACTCACAGAACGGTAACCACAAAAACTAGAGACCTGACCAGAGAGAGAAACAAACACGGGAACCACCCCTGAAAGGAAAAGTGAAAACTAAGTCTGTGGGAAACTGATTGAAGAAGTGTGCATCTAACTGGTACCATGAAGTGAGTGTACAGGAAGAGCTGTGGAGAAGTGTGGGGCTCTGCGTTGGCCTGGAAAATAAAACCAATGTGACAGCTCTAAAGTAATGAAAAATGTTATCTTCTGTAAATGCCTGAACTGCGGAAATAAGGTTACGCATACAACCACGCTTTGAGAAAAGCGGGAGTGCTAGAGCTCCTACTGCAAATCTTACAAGTACAGTTCTGTATGCTAACGAGAAGAACTTGAAAAGCTTTCTGGTAAAGAATGTGGGGATGTGGTTTGTGCATATGCTAGACAGACATTAGAGGTCATCCACTCTATGGTAATTTCACTTACATTGAAGGAAGAAGTGTTTAGAGGTTGTGACTGAAATGAAAGCAGGAGGTTTAATCCATTCTTCCTCGTTTCATTCAGAACTTGGATCAAGAGACAGCAGCGCTGATTCTATCAGCATTTACAAAAAGCTGTAGAAGATTTGTTATGGAGATCGGTCATGCGATGGTGTAACTGAACAGGTGTTTTTAGAACCCACATTAGCAAATGCTGAAATGTCTGCTATAGATGCTTAAAAATACACAAGCATAATTTACAGACAGGCAATATACCCCATATCAAAAAAGTGCTGGGAAGATAAAGCTGGTCAAATTCTAAAGCATTGGACTAATGGCTGCTGAAAAACAACTAGAGCCCTGACAGTAGCGTTAATGATGAGATCTTTGAGAACTTTTACTATTATTTGTAGAGGAGAAAGCTCACAGGAATGGGCCATCAGGAAGCTTATTTACCCTGATAAAAAGCTGCAATCAGGGAGCAATTCTCAGGCAAGTCTTTCCCCCAGGACAGCACTCATTGTCCACCCAGCAAACCTTCCAGAATACATGCATTTTCTGACAATTCTCCCCTCTCTCTCAAAGAGTGCTTGCACTGTGTTATTCCTAAAACTTCTACTGTTGGGGATTCTGCACTGCCACATTGTATTATCCTATTACATTGTTGTTCTCTGCTTGCGCAGCTATAGGTATGAAGTGGATCTGAAACTTATTCACAGCAAATACCGACCCACCTCACCTCAGCTTATGCACTTGCTCTCTCTGTGTTGACAGACTCGATCCCGTTATGACATATCAGCTTTTCCAATTCTTCTGAAATATCTGCATTTCTACATCACACAAGCTCAATTTTCCAATTAAAGTCCTATTTTAGTCCTAAAATTCTCATGGCAAGCATGCACACATAAAAACATTTGAATGGGTGAAGCCCCCATGAAAGTTAGTCCAGGAATGATGTTCAACGCGATGGACGATAATTAGTTGAAATCCAACACTCAGTAACAACTACACCCAGTTTCAAAAATCTCTACTGTGACCCAGCAGGCGACAGGAGGCTCTGAGAAATAAAAATCTCGCTGAAGCAAGAGAAGTCCTACCAAAGTAAGATCAGGATGTAAGCAGCTTTCACAAGATCATACAGGAGTCTCCTAGCCTCAGGAAACAACAGAAAATCATTAGACAAGGATCTGCACAAGCTGCCAGACAGATAATGAATTAAGGTCAGGGAGACTTAGAAAAATATGCCACAGTTGATGCCTTTTTATTTCCTCCTCGTTCAGGTCAACTGCAGACAGTACCCAAAGCAGAAGAAGAAGGCAAGTAGAGGGGGGAGCTACTGTTAGCAAAGCAATGGTGTTCTTGGTCCTTCTCTTAAAACAACAGGCTTTAAAATACTGTGGAGTATGCATGAAAGAAGGGAAAACTATTGGTAAATGATTTAATCTGCCATTTATACAACCTAAAGTTTACCTCTGTTTGGAGGGTTTTTTTGTGGGTTTTGGTTGGTTTTTTTTTAATGTCATCACCTGAAAGCTACTGTGTATTTTGTCCTTATAAAAAATTCAGCCAAAGATAAACTAAATAGTACCACAATGAGGTAAAGACCTTAATACGGTGTTTAACACAGGAAGGTCACAATTCAGAATCCAATTCCCTAAACATTAGAACAATACAATAACAATAGTAACCGAAGTAGCGGAGCAAACTGGGGATGAAGGAAGAGAGTCTAAAGAAAAAAATGTAGGGTCTTGCCCATAATAAAATTTACTGATGGCATGGTTTTCGTTTAACTGAAACAGCCTGAAGTTCTGCCAGTAAAATGCAGAAAAAAATTTATAAGGAGTAGCTGATGTTCTGCTAGTAAATCGCTTGTCAAGTTACACAGTACTGAGGTGTTTGTTTGGTAATTAGGAAGGAACTTTGAATTATTCATATTTTGATAGCTTTGAGACCCTCAGGATTCTCAAGAACATGCCTTGACATAAATCAGCTAACTGAGGCAAACTTAAAGAAAACTGCCTTTATGAAAACCACCCCCAGAGGGACAGAAGCCCAGTGTACCCTACTTCTTGAGTAAAGAGCAGCAAATGGGTACAAAGCATAAATACTTGCATTCCCTCATATTTTGTCCCTAAACACTGTAAGTTCTTTTAAACTGGGCAGTTTTCTTAAGCAAAAGTGGAGTAGCTCAAACTCAAAAACTTGTCTTTAGGATTATAATTTAAGAGAGTACAAAGGTGCACCTTTTTTTCTTTTTGCCCCCTTTTTTTTTTTAAGGAGAAACGCAATAGATTAATGAAAAAGCAGCTAATAAATACCAGCTACAAAACAGTTTTCTCATTGCTGTTTCACTAAGGTCTTCTTATCACACAGTTGTTCTGTGGAAGGACAGTCCTATAAAAGGGAAAACCAGAGCAGGACGAGCTGATGGGAGAAGAGGAACACTGCAGGTGGCTTGTTTGTTATTTGCATAATTTTTAATCTGAGGAAGAACGAGAAGTTCTGCTCAATGTCAAATGAAAACGGTTCAAAAGATCATGATACTATGAATAAAAGCACAAATCACCTCAGAGTGTATTAGAGAAAAAAACTACGCCACCAACATTGATGCAATGGTTGAGACCTGCAGACATATCTAAATACAAACCTTGCATCTGTATTTACAAGTTACAAGACGTCTGCACCAGGGAGGGGCCAGAAAGACCTGGGCCATGTCAAAAAAACTTAATTTCTAGTGGTGTATGTTCTCATACAGCTTGGGAGGAGCCTCAGAATGGGTTCTGGAGCTGTTCACAGTGCAATGTGTCACCCACCGTCATGGCAGAAAGCACCACCACTGATGCCCAAGTCCTTACGAAATGCCCTTGTTTTCCATCCTTCAGAGTAGAAACCAAGCTGCAAACCTTGGAGGCTCAGTTCACAGGCCTGGACTCAAGCTTGCAGAAACTGGCACAGAAGTTTGAGCTGCAGGCCGAGATGCTGGAGAAGGAGATGAGCCAGGACGCTCCGTGGCCGTGGGCGCCAGGGGAGAGGTGAGCACAAGGGAGGGATGGGTCAGTCCTCGTCCTGCAAGCGCAGGTGACACTGGTGTAACTATGGGTGCACTCCAATGTGAGGCTGTGCAACCCATACTGACATACGTACCTTTCCCAGTTGGGATTGCTATTTACTGCAGAAATGGGCAATATGAGGAAAAAGTATGGTTCCTTTGATAGTTGTTTCTTTAAAAAACAAAACACAGTCTATGAAATATTTACGTGGTTTAAAAACAGCCATGCCACTTCCAGGATAGCAGGGACATCCAAGTCTGTTTGCATAGCTCTGTCCCACAGTAAGCGAAGGAAGAAAAACTCCAACTCATTAACACTATGATTACTTTCTCCAGTTAAATAAGGCTAGAAGATTCACATTTTTAGCACCCAGGCTAGGCTTTGTTAATACACATATTTAGTCTTTCCATTTTCCAACCGAGTGTTTCTGGAGCAGCTCTTCCTTTCCGCACACCCAGGGAAACAGGCTCTAGTCAGGCTGCCTTTCAGCAAGATCTGTTGGAAACGATTTATGGCTGAAATACTTGTTTACTGAAATACTTATTTACAAGACAATAATACTGCAGCACCACGAGGAGACGGACGCGCGCCCCAGGGCCC